ATGGAGAGTTTTCATGAACAAACTATTGCAGTGTAGTTCGTTTGGCCATGTATTTCCCTTTTCGTTTAGCATGTCAGATGACTTATTTACTCACTTCCATTTCCTTTAGAGCGACCTCACACGTGACCAAGACAACATACTGGACAGCTTAAAAGACTGGATGTACCGCATTGTTGGCTGGGATAGATCTTCAGGTCGACACGGCCGCCTCCTGCCCATGTGGACCCTGGTGCTGCCCACAATACTTCACGGCTTGCTCTCTTACATTCTGGGCACATTGATTCAACACTTGGTACTTTTGAAAATGAAGGGTAGGGGCATACACACATCACCTGATACTGCTCCTACATCATCAGATGAAGAACCTCCAGGTCCCACAGACATGGCCCAGACATACTACCCAGAGCTTGTGGCCAATTTTCTGGCCTTGTTCATCCCAGAATTCTTGTTGTATCCTCTGGAGACAGTTCTTAATCAGCTCTATGTCCAGGGCACAAGGACCATCATTGATGATCTGGACACTGGTAGCGGTGTGGTACCGCTGTGTACTAACTATGACGGTATGTTGGACTGTGTCCGCTCCATCTGGAGGGATGAAGGAGTCGGAGGATTTTACAAGGGCTTTGGTGCCTTACTGATCCAATTGTTAATCCATTGGCTCATTCTCAAGATGACTCAGTTTGTGTATAGAGAAATGTCCCGAGATTTTAAGGGCAAATAACTTAGTTAGGACCCAAGAGAAAGTGATTTAGAACCAGTATAGAGATATTTTATAGAGTTCGTCTGTTACAGTTGTTTGTGGTGCAGATGAACTCATGGAGCAACTTCCCTTGTTGAAATAATTGAGAACAATATTGGTTGGAGGTTGTCTGATACCCACAGATATGAAAGATGATTTTACTAACTAGAATTTACGCGTGTCGAGATTATTCCGTATTTTTAGCTATTAATCTATTATATCTTCTCAAAAGAAGTTGTTGTGTGTTCGTCCTGAAAACCTTTATTTATATTGTCAGTAATACTAATGCTCGCTCCACCAGCACAGTTTTCTTTGATAACCTAAATTGTCAGCGGTCACCTTGACCTCTCTCGTAAGTTGGCCATACTTTACGAAAAAGACTCAAAAAGCCATAGTCATCTTTAAAGAAAGTTTTGAAACAGTATTACCGGAATCCGCGAAATTTCTTTCTTCTCGAGTCTTTTCTTTTTCTGAAAAGCGAGTTCTTAAATTTGCATAGTATCTTGGGGTATTTTGGGCTCGTTTCGTTGGGATATGCTCCGAGTATAAATGAATGCATTGGAAAACCTAGATAGTTTACGCTATAGAAAGTAAGATATCTCCCAGAGTGATTCCTCAGAGGAGCGGATTTTCAACATTTTGGAACAAGGATATGAGTAGTACTTCGACTTATTGTGGTTTCGGAATGGTAGAAGTAAGTCCTAAATGAACAGTTTTGGTGTTAAACTGTTTTGGTGCTTGTAAAAGTAGGCCTGGGGTATGGTACCTGTAAAATGCACGACTTCATTCCTTGCCTTGTCATTTCGAAATAAAATTCTGCTACACCCTGGAACATGGTCTCCTGATTAAAACGTGAATAAATTTCCGAGGGATCTCAGTTTGTTTAATTAGTTGAGTACATGGTTTAATTGTTAGCAAGATTACTTAAAATTCTCTAAACAAAGATATCACAATAAGCGGCAATTATGGTCAAGTCGATTAAGACTGCTTTCCACATAATCGCGACGACTATCGGTTTCCATACCATCGCTACGGTCGTCGAGGTACAAACTTACCTTTAAATTTAAGGAAACGTGAAAATACTAGTTTATAAAGGTAGAAAAATACCAAAGAGATAATAATAAACCTTAACCCTTAACCGTTTTTAACCATTTAATCAGCTTTTTTGGTTGCCGCGAGGCTAAATGGGCCTAAGTTTTGCTGAAAGGCTGTTTTACCAAAATGATCGATTTCTCGAAGATTAGGTACAAAATTGTGCAATATTTCAATTTGGTGCATGCGCATAAGACAAAATTTGGAATTTTTGCCATTATCCGTTCTCAATTTTTTTTTCTCGGCCCTCTCCTCTTTTCCTCGGCCCTTTTACACTCGCTACCTTTTGGGTTGCATATTCTTTCTGGCTGCTGTAAAAAGTTGGGTGTTAATTATGGGCAAAACCTAGAAATGGACCTTGATCAATTATAGGCATAGTGGACCATTTTACCACCATTTTTGCACCAAAACTGATAACGTTGCTTTTCAACTTGGTACGTCTGAATGTCGTCGATATCCAAAATCGACCGTTGTACTGAAAGGTCTATCCTAGCTCTACTATCCGCTTATCAATAATATCTGGTGACATTTAAATTGATGACGTCACAAGTGGTGCAAAGAGCACGACCATAAATTACGCGTATATGCGTAACTGGTAACCAAAGGGTTAAAGGAACAAGAATGGTTAAGGATTGAGAAGACTGACATGGATTACAAACAAGGAACTTAAAAAAAAAAAAAACTTAGTCGTAAGTTTACAAGATGCGCAAACTTGACGTAGCTCCTTCAGAGTATGTCACAACCTCGTTCCCAGGGTCCTCTCTCTTCCTCCCTCGAGAAAGTAGAAAGGAAGAGAAAGGACCCTGGGAACGAGGTTGAGTATGTCAGCGATCGTTGAGGCTGCAATCGTTGGAAAGCGTTTTCCAAATGATCTCAATGATCGCTGAACGTCTTTTGCAGCGATCGTAGCGATTACATGGAAACCAGTCTTTGCCTTCACAAGCTTCAACAAGGCTTTCTACTATTATCTTGATTGAATATTCCATGCAACAAACACATGAAGGTGTTCAATACTGTAGCTCCTCCGTGATATACATATGTAGCTGTAGTTCGTATAGTGTGATCGTCCGGGTGAGGGTAGTGAATAGTTTGTGAGTGGACGGTGTTATAAGTCTGGTCCGTTGAAAGTGTTTGGTCAGTTTAGCCATGATGCTATTGGCTGTGAGTCTCGTGTAAAGTTTGTCACCAGTCATTGGTAGGTTGTAGTAAGTTTCGTTCAGTTAGAAATGCGAAGGCTTTCGGTCGGAACGTCTTGTTCAAGTTCATATTAACGTTGTATTTAACAGCACTTTCAAATCAGCGTCAGGCACCTATAATATTTTACGTGTTGGATACTATTGTCCAATCAGAACACGGCATGAGCACTTCGACAGTGCGTACGATAGGTTGTCGACATGACGATAAGCGATGTTGCTAAGCAACCCGTGAAGAAAACTGTTGGCTCCCTCAGATTTTGTAGCTGGTACTCCGACCCATGCCCCACTCATTCAAATAGGAACACCCAAGTTTCTATGGGAACTTACTCAATTAAAAAGACGAGTTTACACTGTAGAAAACAGATATTTATGTTCTACAGAAAGCAGAACTTTACTAATAAGAGATTTTCCTTTTGTCAAAGGATAAATATTGCTTAATTCTGAACATTAAAACCAACCGACCATCTATAATGAGTTTTATTCTATGTGACATCTTTTACAATAGAAGTCGCGTTAAATTCATTATAAATTTTCCCTGAAAAAGTCATTATGAAAATGTCCTATCTGCAGACTTTTTTTCTCTGAAATTTACCATATCCCGCAAGAAAACATTATTTCTGAGCGCTTATCAGGAGGCCTGCTCCTGATGTCGCTTCTAATGCTAATTTCTAATTTACTCGTTTTTTGAAATATTCCTAATTTAAATTAAATAACAAATAGTGTTTCGTGACGCTACGAGCGTACGAACTACTCAAACAAATATGTCCAGTTACTAGGTCATTGCTATGGTTACACGCATGTTTTAAATTACTAACTTTAGTCCAAAGATCGGAACCCGTCAATATTTTAGTAAAAAAAATCCAATCTTCAGACGTTTGTTGGTATTTACGTAGATGTGCGAGAAGATCTAGGAACGACATAAGTCCTCCAAGGAATGTGATGTGTGTTAAAAAATTACTTAACAGACTATTTTAGCCTCAGAACGCTGACGGAGAATATTAAAACGAAGCAAAGCTATGCTGGGAATCCCAGCTGGCTGACGGATTACTGACGGATAACTGGCTGATTACTGGCTATACATTAATTAGTATAAATACGAAGACTCGAAACTATAACTTTGAAGGTTTCATTCCATGATCAGCGAAGTCTGGTTCCCTAAAGTAAACCAAAAAGAAAATCATTGTAAAGAAAAGAAAGGAGAATTATGTCCGAGCAAAACATGCAACCCGTGTCAAACATTGGTGACCTGCTTTTGGTTTAACTGCTGTGGGCTGGAAAAACATGCCACGTTCGTTGTGCTTGAAAAATGAAAGATGTAAATTTTTCCATCAATCGCAGGAGAAAGTAGAAGCAAACCCAGCCGAAAAAGTAGGCAATTACTAACGACAGACCGCTTGAAACTCGCTCATCAGTGATCTGATCGCACTTGCCGGTCAGAGTAAATGACTGTCAAAATTCCCAAAATATATTATCTCTAAACGAAATTTTCCCTCACGAGTTATTCAACGTAAGTCTACGACGGGACGCGCCCCGTTTGTAAGGACGCGGGTGCCTCAAGTTTACGCAGGGATGCGCCACGTTTCTCCTCAAGTCCACCACGTTTAAATAGAGGTACAAAGGTTTATTTAGGAATGCGCGACGTTTATATGGGGATGCCACGAGTTTACGTAGGGATGTGCCAAGTTTAAAACGGGTTCCCCAAGTTTACGCGAGAATGCGCCACGTTTTCATTTGCGGTGCGCCACGTTTCTGTAGGGATGTGCCTTTGGGACATTTTTCATTTGTCAATTTGGACCATGAGGAAAACAAGTGATAATACTAATACTCTAAAAACGTTCGGATGGGAGGGGGGGGGGGG